TTTTCCTGGTACATACAGGTACATGTTATTATGTTGCCTAGAAAGTTTGAGCTGATTTTGATTAAAATTGGATTTTTTACAAATTTTTGAAGTTGCTCCAAAATTGGATCAATGACCATGTACTACATGTATAGTACAAGGTATTTTTCCAATACTGGCTAGGAAAGAATTCACCATTTAATGTTGTACATGTACATGTATATACAAATATAATAGTCAACATTGTGTTTTAAATTTCTTTCATTATATTCTCTAGTCTTCATTCCTTGCAAGTCGTTTCTTCACAATAATTTGATAAAGATAGTAATAGATCCATTAGTCTTGATGAGATGAGGAATGGAATCAAATTATTAATAAAAGGGTCACAACTGGATAACTTACATTTTTATTTCAAGTTTACAATGTTGATGGTAAGTAATTTGTACATTTACATGTACAATGTATGTGTTATGCATGTACATGTACATGCACATGTAAACACTTCCATTTAATGGATAGCACCTAGTGCACCAATTACATTCCTTACTCTATAAAATAGCTTCCACACTGAGGACACCTTTGTACAACAGACAAGCTTTCTTGTACCAAAGTGTTCATCTACACTATACTATTGTATTATTAGAATTATTACTAGGTGATGGTGCTATTGACTATGATGAGTTGAACCAAGGCCTTGAAAGTTTATCAAATATTGATGAAGAAATTTTAGAGACAAACAAAATGCATTTTTACATGTAATACCAGGTAGGCAAACAAATAAATAAAATTATAAATAATTTATTTCTAGTTCTGCAAAAACTTTGTCGGGATAAAAAAATTTTGGAGAGATTTTGGCCTTCCTGGTTGTCATGTAAACATGTCAGAAATGATTGGTTGTATTTCATCTTTTTGTTTGTGTTCTTCAAAATTAATATTTTACTGTTTGTGGACGCAGCAATCAGATACAAAAAATCAAGTTAGTAATAATAATAATAATATTAATTAGAATAATAGTTTATTATACAAATGTATTGATGTCATTTACATGTGCTTGTACATGTACATGTACATGTATTTGTGTATAATTATGTTCCCTCCCTCCCCTCTCTCTTTTTTAGCATTTTAATATCAATAGCCAGAGATGCTGGTACTTGTCTCATCAAGTAGTTGTCCTTATACTAATGTATTGACACTCATTCGATCAGCAAGACTGTCTACTTGACAAATTAACTACATAAGATTGTGGGAAATACTATTATCATACTGTCTCTAATCTCTTGTTATTTCATGGCACATTTTATAAAAATCAGTAAGTTATAGTATTAATTATGATCTGTGTCATGTTTTTGTTTTTTGAAAATTTCGTACAAAATTATCCTCAATTTTTGTTACATTTTTTGATAAATATTGACATGTACTTAGTATACTATGTAGAAAATTTGAGCTGATTCTGACTTAAATTTTTTAAGTTTTGACTTTTTTAATAATAGGCAAATTTTAGGGGGAAAAGCAAAGTTTGTCAATTTTTTCTCCTCTGTTTTGTTAAATTTATTTGCTCTCTAATTTTTATATTAAATTTATTTTAAAGGCTTGGTTTCCTTAAGGCTACATAGCCCATAGTTTTATCAAAAAATTGCTCCAAAATCACCTCAAATTTTTATTACGTTTTCTGATACATATTGATGTCCTTATGCTTTGACTTTTTGAGGTATGAGCAATTGAAGAAATACATTTCTATATACATGTACAATACATGCATGCACTGTGTAATCTTGACATTCCTGTTTCCATTGATGGTAAGATCATGTTCTTTTCTGAAGGAAGATCCTGTAGCTATGGCAATGTACATAACATGTATGCTATATTGGTAATAGTTACATAAGTGGTGGGAGGAGCTCATGTCTACTGGCATAGATTTTGATTTTGGCTGTTATGTTAACCCTTGTTACTTGAGTATCAAACCCAGTGTTTTTGACATGCTAAATTACTTTTTGCTCACAACGTCTATTAATTGACTAATGAACCTACATGTACCTACCTAAACTACCTTAAATAGCCCTATTGGATCAGATGAGTTTGTTCATGAATATGTGCATGACACAACCAAATGTATTCTCTCTGTCCCAGCTGTCTTGGTGGTCTTGGTTTTAGTAATCTCATAATGTCAATTCAGCAATACAGTGATTACATCTTTATCCTCGCAGCCTCATGTTAATGCCATCATTGATTCACCATCTTATAACTATCTCGATCATTATTTCTGGTACGGTATCACTTCATCAAAGTGTTGTGTGAATCAGAGTCACAAATAAAACTTAGATGCTATTACAAGACTCCATTATACTTCCCTACTAAACTACTATGTTGTCTATAGGCAGCTATAGTGAGTCTGCAGCTTTTCCTGGCTCAATCATATCAAAGAGCTGGTTTTGTCTTTCACTTTATAAAGGGGCATTTTGAAATGCATTATATACCAGTATGGTTGGACTCCCCCTCATGCTCTCAACTATACACGTGTGTAGTGGCTTTTCATCCCTGAAACATAATGAACCTACTGCTGATCTTGGTTTGTTTTTAGGTTTGTTCTGAAAAATGGTTCTGAAGTCACCATAATTATGTTTTGTTGAATTCTGATGCACATTGAGTTTGGTAATTTGAAACTGAGGCAATTTCTGAAAATTGGTTTGAAAATCTCCAATTATTGTATCTTCGACCTATTGCCACTGCAGTTAGTTAACTTAGTACTGATCAATGTTGTACATGTACATGCAACAAGTTCCCTAACGTCTGGTTTATTATTAATATGTTGTAGGGTCTTGTTGGATACTTTATCATTGGGTTTGAGGTTCCCTCTTATCCTGTGTACTTGAGTACTAGTCCTCAAGATACACCGACTCACTGGCATCACAGGATATATTATTCCATACACGTTCAAACAGGTGGGTCTGGTTTGAGACTAATGTACTCATTACTGTCTATACTTATTAATTGGGTGAAGGACAAGTCAGTATATCAAATACTGCCTGTCTGTTTGTATGTACATGTACATGTACATTACAGTCACTCCTGATTATACATTTTTATAAATTATTGCTACTAGAAAAATGTAAACATTAAGGAGCTCCGTCCCCTAGCTATGCAGATTAGGTCATTTAACTTTGATAATACGAGGTTTCTGACCCTCCATTTTTGCAAGGGTCAGGCCACGCCTGACTAGGCTAAGGAATGGTCTGGCTGTGCGAGACTATGTGCAATTTGCTGTACCATCATTGCTGAACTCTTCTTTAATAAATATTTTTTGTAAATTAACAAAATTAAAAAATATATATTCAATATAAGTAATAATAAGAAAGTCAATAAAAAACTACTATTAAGCATCAATATCAATATTAAAATCAAGTTCGAGTTCATTTTTAATAGCTTCAATCCAGTCCTCACCTAAAGCTATTGCTGCATTAGCATAACTGCCTCTTACAGCAATGAATGAGCTTAAGAACTTTTGACTGTGCTCCTGCACTTGAGGTAACTTCCTCATAAAACTAAGACTAGCCTTGAACTCATCAATGCACTCTTTCATTGAAGGAGCTTCTCTAACTTCATTACTAATAAGCTTAACTGTGTACAACTGATTGACAAGACCAGTAAGAGACTTCTTAGGCAAAGAATTGAGATCAGCATAATGAGATACAAGAACATCATTGATCACTTTCTTCACTTTATTGACATCAACAGTAGCTGATGCACCTAATAGAGGTCAATGGTCAGCATATACACACAGTATTATCACATACTAGCTCCTCCAGTGGATGATACTGACGTTGATTCATGTACTACATTAGAGGAGGTAGTAGGATCTGATTAATATTAAACAAATAAACAATTGAAATGAGTTATTCATTACTTGTCGAAGTAGGAGGAGGAGCAGTTCTCAGTGATCGATGAATGAATAATGTAACAGGATCAGCCACTCCATCCAGTGGTACAGAGTAATGCAGTGATGGTACAGCACCAGGTGATCCATAGACTGATACCAGACAACATGGAGGAAGAGGATAATTAGCATCGCCAAAATTATCAACATCACAACGGCGCAACTAATATAATATACACACACCAACCATCAGTTATACATTATATTGCAGTACTTACTCTACAAGGTTTAATGTGAGGCTTAATACTCCAACCAGTGAATGGCTCATCTTGTGGTGCATCAAACTTCAATTCAATATATGAATAGAAAGGAATAAAAGAAAAATAAACATATTGACCAATCTCAGCTTGTACGTGTTTCTTCTCAATAAACTATAAAATGAAAACAGTGATGATAATAATGACTAAATTATTAATGTATGTACACATACCTCAAGGAGAGCACTTAATTTCTTAGCTACAGTGAAGGTCACTAAGTCTTCAGCTTCTTTCTTCTCACAATAAACCAGTCCAGCATATGTTGCAGCCTCTTCTACACCAGTGGACCCTGCTCCAACTATAAATAAATGTGCAAATCATTAATTATGTATAGTTTTTAAAATCATAGCTACATGTACATGCATTAATTATTCATTACCAGCAGATTGTTGTTGAGGCTGAGGTTCAGCTTCCTCCTCTTCTCTTAAATCCTCTCCATCATAAACTGGATCAATACTGGTATCACCTTCAAGTCTCTCTTCTTCTTTTGCATTTACTTGTTCAATAGTATCAGACTCAACTATACAAGTGAGATCAGTTATCATTGACAGTGTTGATGAAAGTACTTACTATTAAAATCTGAACTAATCTCAGTACAAGGCATTAGAGCAGTTGCTTTTTCTTCTTCATGATCCTTTGACTCTTCTACTCCTTTATTATCTTGCTCTTCAATTCCTTCCTCATGTAATGGCTGACCTCCAGTCTCCCCCTCTTCCTCTACTCCCTCATTACTAGTAGACTCTCCTATATAGTGGAATAGATTCAGTTCATTATACACTAGTACACACTCACTGACTCATTACTCACCTTGTCCTCCACTGCTACCTCCTGGTGGATCTTTAGTCTTATCAGAATCACTGGATGAATCACTATCACCATCTTCCACTTCCTCCTCAGTTTCCTCTTTGGCTTGTTCCTCTTGCTCCTCTTCTTCTGACTCATCTCCATTAGTTGATGATTTGGGTAGATGCTTCTCCCCAATGATAGATACCAGACAGAAATCTTTACGTTTAATGGATCCATACCAACTATCAGGTTTAAACTCTCCTCCCTCAACTATTGAGAACTGGTAAGGAAGACTGGGTGTACTCACAGGAGCTATAGCAAACTTTAAAAATTGTGTAAGACCTGGTCGTCCCCTCAGATCAATGCAGTGCTCAATTTCTAGTTGCAATGGCTTGGGGAGAGGCTTGGATACTGAAACAGCATAAACAGCACTCACTAGTACTGTATTCTTTGGAAAGACAAACTCTCCTCCTACAAGAGCGACTACTGCTACCTCAACTGTATCAGTGGGTGATAAGGTATCTTCTTGTACTCCAATCCTTAGACCATATTTCTCCCAATTAATTAGTTGAGATTTGTCTCCTTGAACTAGAAACAGCTTCTTCTCTGCTACCTGTACATCACTCAGACAGTCCAAATTATCTATCAGTAGTAATAAGACACACAGTCAGTCAGTCACACAATAATACTCTTACCCATTGAAGGAATTAGGTAATTAAATTGTAGTCCAATGGAACTAGTCTCTTTGATGGGTTGTTCCTCTAAGGATGTGACTCTCTCCAGTAGTTGTGACTTATCCTTCATTAGTTTGGTTGCATACAATTCATTATCAGACACTTTAGCTTTAAGGTCTATAAATTAATAGAATATTGATAATTATTATTGATTGATGATGATACACTAACCAGTAATGATCTGTTTCTCATTCTGTGATTGTTCCTCTACTTGTGAAGTCAGTTTGGCTAAAACTTTGTCTTTCTCAGAGATGTCAGTTTTAAGTTTTTGATTGTTGTCTACACAATAAACATATTCTCTCATCTAATACATGCTTCATGTGTGTATAGTTAACTAACCCATAATGATCTGTTTCTCCTTGAGATATTGTTCCTCCTTCTCTTCCAATAGTTTGGCAACTTTGAGTTTTAGTGTCTCATAATCTTCTACATTAATAGAATATTCTTTCATCTAATATTATGTACTAATGATACACTAACCAGTAATAATCTGTTTCTCCTCCTCTACTTGTGTTTTCTCTTCCAATAATTCAGTTATGTAAACTTCATTATCAGTAACTTTAGCTTCAAGCTTCTTATAATTTTCTATTGTCGATGAAAACAAATACATAAAAAATGAAATGATATTTTTTGCTTAAAAATTTTGCACTGCATGTACAGTAGCCCATATAAATACATGTAATGTGATTATTGCTAAAGATACTGTATATAGTAAGCAGAGCTCACTGTATATAAATCATATTATTTGTAGTGCATGGACAGTTTGATCTACTGTATATCTGGAAATTATTGTCTGTATTTATTTTTAGAATGCATGGCTTTGTGTGAAATTAAAATTCATGAAAATTAATTTATTTATACGTAAATTTTGCATGCAGATACCATGTGCATTGTCAAGACACATGTGGCACTATCATCACAAAATGGTGCTGCTTTGTTTCTTTCAATTAAAGTATCTCTCCTAGTCTCCTACTGCAGTTGGCAGATAGTCTAATAAACATGATAGCTTCTCAAACAGAGGTGATATGTGGGATCCTTTATAAGATCTTCAAAATTTCGTATGCTATTAATTTTCAGACAGGAACCACTGCGCAAAAATGAAAATACATGAATTTTTCTGTTTGAAAATTTTCTCCTATGAAAATTACCTGACATACAATATACTGAGTATGTACAGGATAATATTACCATACTCAACATTGTAGTAGTATTATAATGTAAATAATGTACACAAAAACAACTGTACAACACAATAGTACCTAATTCAAGACATGATTTATCCTTTTCTACTTGCTCAATGAGAGTGGTAGCTTCATCAAGTTGCTGAGTAAGTGTTGCCTTTTCTTGAAGAAGCTGTTGCTGCTCTTTGTCTCGATCTTGCTGTATCTGCTCCTTCTCTTTTATTTCTTTTTGAAGCTGTTCCTGATAGAATTCTCTCTCTCTTTGTTGTAGGTGACCTCTGAGTAATTGAACCTCTTTGCTTAATCCTAAATTCTCCCAATCACTCAGTATCCTTCTTCTTAGTTGATCTTGATACTGGTCCAGAGGTATTACACTAGTAGACCAATCATTATCACTAGTATATCCTATACAGCAACAAAGTAGTAGAAAATAAGAAATACTGTAGATCAGGAAATTAGTGTGGTAGAAAATTTTGAGTTTTAAACTTGTGCTGTGATTTAATTTTTACTAAATAAGACTATGTCATGTATTAATGAATGTGGCATGTATTATGTAGGTAATCTAATTTTTGCAAAATTCCAATCCAGTAAAATTAAAGTCACAGTAAAAATTTCCAGATAGACGGTACACAAATCAATTACAGTTAGTTACCATGGTAACATCATTATTGCTTAATCATTGTATGCATGACATGACATCTGTCAGTTTACATAGTTAACTATTAATGTATATAAATACATTGCTAATAATATTTCATTCACTCTAGCTCCTATTAATATCAGTGTTTCTGTATCTGCAGTCATTATATTTCATAGCAGGAATAAATTAACAATAACTAGTATCATAGGTATACGTCAAATGCTCTCATTAAATATTCATCATAAGAATTTACTTACATTGTTGTAATATTATCATTACATATTCAATGCACATTGTATCTACTATGTACTTACTGAGTTCAGTAACTGCTGTATCATTGTATTTTGTAAATCCTCCAAACTCAATTATCCAGTTAGTAGTTGGGGTCACACTCCACACTGAGAGATAATGATAGTCTCTCCTAGTGACATTGATTGGTAGATTAATCTATAAAATTAAAATAATAATAATTAATTTGTGTATGAAATATTAATTGATTTGATATCTGTTTAATAAACACAAAAACTAACTGACAGTTTTATAGTCTGCACAGTGTGTTTTTTGTAACACAAAGATGACATAATAAAATTAATAATACACAATATATTAATAGACAAGTATACACAACTGAGGGTGTTATTATATCATGCGAGTCCTCAATTAAGAACTTACTAAGTGTCTGCATGTGCACACATACACATACACATACTAATGACACACTAACACACATACATGTACATTTATACATGCATAGACATATAAAGGTACATGTAAGGCATGCATCGTTGCACACACACACACACATACATGTAGCTACATGTTACATGTACACATGATGTACATGTTATATAGCAAGAGTCCAAATATAATGAACTCTTGGTGTCAGTACACACATATGTATATTAAAACATTACAACATATGCACATATACACACAAATACATGTATGTACATACACAATAAAATAGAATTAATTTTAACTCCAGCATTGATATTGTATTACAAACCTCATGAGTCACAAATTTTAGTTAATCGCTTTATGTTTCCTTATCAAGCATACTTACCAGTTCTTTCCATTTTCTTTTGTTAATGTCCAGTAACCATACATCATAGGCAGGAGATCCACCCACCACTAGTAAGTGTAGTCCTGAACTAGTGGTAATCAGTACACTGGAATGACCATATCTTCCCTTAGGCCATTGTAATGATCCTCCAGGATTAGGAACTTCTAATATATCCTGAGAGAATAATAAAATCAGTGTTGCAGTAATAAAATAATTCTCATTATTATTTATCAATTACTGTAGGGTAGGTTTAGATTTTGCATCAAAAACATTGTGATAGTGGCGAATGGCTATCAAAATGCCAAACTTGCCAAAATTAATTTCTTCCAAAATTTCTTACTCTACAGTAATTAATATCAAATTTAATTGACTGTGATTTGCATGTACATGTTAATTGTTAAGCCACATCAATGCGGTTTGACGAAATGCAGTTTTTTCAATTGCAATTTAATTGAAAACTCATAATTTACATTCTCATAATCAGAACCCATCCCACATTATAAACTCACCACTGATGTCTTAGTGAAACTTATCATATACAGTTTATTACTGACTCCATTATCAGTAATGCCTCCAAACATTACAGCAGTGTTATTAGTAACTGTTGTTAGAGTGAAGGAATCAATAGGAGGTGGTCTGTCTCCAGTAACAACAGGAGATATCCATTGATCTAATAATATCGAACAAACATTCATGTACACTTACTTACCACATACACACACATACATACACAAAGGTGTAGGAGTGATTCGAAAGTTGGGGGGGGGCTGAAGGGGGCTGAACATAAAAACATGTAAATATGTACTGTCATGTGTGCCGACAGAGACTAGTTCCATTGGACTACAATTTAATTACCTGATCCCTTCAATGTTATTGCTACATTATATTCATTTAAGTAAATGAAGTTTCAAGCTAACAAAAACCTGCTAACAACTTGAAATGAAGCCACGTGATGGTATTTTTTATTGTTCATCTACCAAAAGTTGGGAGGGCTAAGCCCCTCCTACACCTATGATTATACACATTCATTATAATTTTCATTTCTATAGTTGCTGTAAGATCAAAGGCACTGCGGGGTCAATATAATGCATTGCTTTTCATGCACTAGCATCATGACTGGAATTGCTGTATAAACTAATCGGAGTATTGTCAATGCGTCAGAAATAGAAATTTTTCTAATCTGATGCATTCCATTTGTTTACACAACACTTTTGGTCACAATTGAGAATCCAACTTTACGCATATATACCCCAAGTGGTTTTGATGATTTTATAGTGCCACGTGGTAAAAATGGCTGCCTTTTCTTTTTCTCTTTGCTGCCCAACTTTAGGCCTTTTCTTTCTATTCTTAGTGACCAGTTTCATGCAAGTATATAGCAAAGGACACTCTAATGACTAAAACAGTTAAACTTCTCTTTTAGTCAAATTTACTGCATTGGTTGTCATTACCAATGAAAAAATGCTCAATGGTGGGCCTTGTGCGGTTTGATCTTAGAGTAAGTATAGAATATATCATATATACCATACCTTCTTGGTCTACATATATATATATATATATATATTACAACACATCATGCATAGAAACACATCACACACACTACACTTGTATACTTGAAGGAGAGGTGCAGTTTGTGTCCTTATTTGAAGATTACCAATCTATTCTGGTACATGTCAGTTATGATTGTTTGTACAAAACTGATGGAACATTGTATGTGGGTAATTTGTGACTCATGTGATACAGAACTTTATTAAAAATGATAATAATTAACATGAACCTACACACACACTCATGTCACATTAGCTTACGTATAGATACATGTATATACATATACAAACATCACACACACACACACACACACACACAGATACATGATAATACTCACACACACATAACATGCACATTATAGATGCACGTCACATACACATGTCATAAATTCTCACATACATTATATGCACTATCATACACAGACACATCATAATGTATGTATTAGTACACACATATACATCACACACAAACACATGACACACAGAGACACACTAACAAACACACTGAATTATTAACAATCTGTTTTATGTACATTAATATAAATTATTCAGTTTGAAATACTGATCAACTATTGTGTATCAATGATGAGAATTACTGACCTGATGAAATCTTGTAATAATGTATCTCATTACATGTGCCATCAGCTGAATACTGAGCATCAGGTTGTTTTGGAGTATTGATAGAAGATGATCCCATGCTTCCTCCAATTATTACAAGATAGTCTTCACCATCAAAATGAGCTGATACCATTCCACAATAGCCCTTCATCATTGGGCTATGATCAGAACTAGAAGGAGAAAGTTCCCTCCACTTGAATGAATCCACATTGATACAGTGCACATTGTTTTGATACCCACTAACACCACGTCCACCAAAATAATATATTTCCTTCCCAATAGCAACTGTTACAGATGAATAGGCCCAGGTACCTGGTGGTGGGGTACCAGTAGTAGCTTTCTGGTCCCAAGCACCAGTTGGTAAGTGATACACCTCCATCACATCATAGTGTACTCCAGACCCGGACCCACCCCACATATATAGGTAGTCTCCTACCTTTACTGTGGAATGTCCCTCTCTCTTCACTGGTTGATAGTCTATAAAGAACAAGAGGTACCAGTAACAGAGTAGACAGTAATATAGTGATGAGTTAGAATAAGGACAGGATACAGAGGAGTAAAGTGAGAGAGTAAGAGAGACAAAGAATGAATGAAAGAGATACAAAAAGAAGAGAATAGTGGCCCTCACTTTCAGATGCCATTCTGGCAGCTTGCCAAATACCAGCCCCACCCAAACCAGCTATGCAACATGAGACCACACACATTTTCCAAAATTCATAGTGCCAGTCGTGGTTCTACTAGACTGACACCAAAAAAATCCCAGCTTCTTCAATTCTCCTAGTCAAAGTGATGGGGTAGGTAAGGATGGGACTGTACCGGAATCCTTATTGATACAAGCTCATAGTCTAGCCACTCGAGACCAAACAGGTAGGAGGCTGTGTGAGACTTGTAGATAAATTTATTTTAAAGGGAGGCTTGCACGCGAAAATGAAAATTGAGATTATTGCTTATTTTTAATTTAAACTACCCAAATAGACTATTCCTACTTGCATTCTTGCATTGCACTTGATTTTTGAAAGTTAGAGCTTGGCGAGGCCAGACTAGAGCTTGCTAAGTTGCTGGATCCTGGATGGAGGGCATTAATTGCTTCCTGTTAGGGGGCGCGGTCATTGATGACATCATTACATATCATAGATAATAGACTCTAATATCTATCAATCACCATAGATAATATACTACATGAAATGTAGTATATTCAAGGGGGGGGGGCGCACAACTTCATAAAAAAAGAATGATCATTCACTGGCAGTTAATTTGTGGGTGCTCTAATACTTATAAAGATAAGGTGAGCATAAAATTTTTTTCAAAGAATTCTAAAATCAGAGAGAAATAGACTATGACAAGTCACCGAAGAGATTTAATAGCATGACTTAGACTGGTCCCTATGCCTATTCTATGCTATTTAGTGATTATCTCAATTATGAAAGCTTTTAACAAGTTTGACTTTTAACTCTGAATCCTTAAATTCAAATTTTATGAGACTTGGGTAATTCAGTACTTAGGAAGTATCAACAATATCCACTGAATGCAGGAGAATACAAAAATATTTAACAAGGTTTGAATTAAAGAATTGAGAGTTAAAAGGCAAAAGAAAGTTTACTCAGTTAAAAGCTTTCATAATTGAGATAATCACTACTGGTCCCTATGGCTATTCTATGCTATGCATGCATAACATAGAATAGCCATAGGGACCAGTCTAAGTCATGGTAAATCTCTCAGTTGACTTGTCATAGTCTATTTCTTTCTGATTTTAGCATTCTTTGAAAAAATTTCTATGCTCACCTTGTCTTTATAAGGAATTAGAGCACATATAGAAGTTTATATGTTTATATATATATATATATATTTTTCTATACAAGTTTACTGTACATGTCATTGTGTGTATCAATTAAATTGTAATAGCATATACTGCTTGCTTTGAGACAACTCCCTTCATGAATGTTCTACATATGTTTATAGTCTAGTTTGTTGTTTATTTTTGTATAAAGACTCATAATTATACAATGAGTTAACATGTCTACCTAATAATGTGATCAAACTGGATAAACTATAATCTAAAATATTTGCAAGTTAAATATTGTATCCACTCTCTACCATATGTACATGTACATCTCTCTCCATGCATACATGTACTTATCTATCGAGTATATAATTTTATAAATTATTTTAATTTTTGGTTTTTAGCTTATTTGCATAATTGGTTTAATGACACAAACTTTCTGACATGCAATATATCACTTATTACAATACACACTCTCTCTCAGAGGTTCCCTGTCATGGACTGGTGATACATTATGTAGCGAGTCAATATTACAGTGGGACTCAAGTCTACCAGGAGACTATTAGACCACACCCAGGAGGTCTGTGGGATTTACTGGTCAACCAAATCATCAGAAACTGGTGTCAGGAGGAAATGAAAACAATTATAGTGAGTTTATGATTATATTTTAATTGTTTATTGGCTTCAGAATTACATCCAAATTTTTATTACATTTTCTGATACCAAGCTGATACATATTGATGTCCTTATGTTATGTAGAAAGTTTGAGCTGATTCCAACAAATATTTTTAAAGAATACCTTGTACTATAGCCCACAGTTTTTTCTTCAAAAAATGATTGCAAAGTCTCCCCCAATTTTTATTACATTTTCTGATACAGATTGATGTCTTAATGTTATGATGAAAGTTTGAGCTGGTTCGGACAAATATTTTTCAAGTTATGAGCATTTTAAAAACCAGTCAATTTTTTAAAGAAGAGCAAAGGTTTGTTCTGAAAAACGGCTCCAAGTCACCATAATATTCTATTACGTTTTTTGAATTTTGTTAATATTGAGTTTTGGTCATTTTGAAACTGAGGCAATTTCTGAAAAGTGATTCCAAAATCACTCCCAAAATTATTGTATTTTGACCTTTTTGACTGATTTAGAAAATTTTAACCCTTAAAATGCATTCAGTGCATTGCCATTGCTGTTAGTAACTCAGTACTGATCAATGTTGTACTTGTACATTTAACAAGTTCCCTAAGGTCTGGTTTATTATTTATATGTTGTAGGGTCTTGTTGGATACTTTGTTATTGGGTTTGAGGTTCCCTCTTATCCTGTGTACTTCAGTACTAGTCCTCAAGATACACCCACCCACTTACTGGCATCAGAGGATATTCTTCCTCAATGAACCCGTACAAGTTCAAACAGGTGGGCCTGGTTTAAGACTAATGTACTCATTACTGTCTATACTTATTAATTGGGCAAAGGACAAGTCAGTATATCAAATACTGTGCCTGTTTGTATGTACATGTGCATGTACATCACTCCAAATTACCATATTGCAGGAAATTTTTCTGGATTTTGCATTTTTCAAAATTCACAAAAAATCAGCAAAAATCAATTTATTACGGTTCAAGATGGCCAAAAAGTAGAAAACCACAAAAATTAAATCCATGAAATTGATTTTTAGTCTAATCTGAGAAAATTTTTAGCTGTGAAAATTTTGGGCCACGAAAATTTTCTGCTATATGGTATACATTAATTACAATTATTATTGTTGTGATTATTATTACTAGGCGATTAATTACGTAGTAGTACCAGTTGCTATAAAGACAAGGATTGTAAAGATAACTGGATATCAAAATACAAATGATGTTATTCCAACTCTCAAAAAATCCGAAGTATTAATAATACCAGAACTTGTACATATATATATACACACTATCATCATGTATTATTGTTAACTTTGTACTTTGTTTTCGTCAGTAGAATTAAATCATTATTCCATCATTGCTAAACTCTTCTTTATTAATAAATTATTTTCTTGTGAATCGACAAAAATTAATTTTAAAAATATTTAAAATTAATAAGCCAATCAAATTATTATTAAGCATCAATACTGATATTAAAATCAAATCCCAGTTCAATCCTAATAGCTTCAATCCAGTCCTGGTGCAAGGCTGTTGCTGCATAAGCAAAACTACCACTAACTGCAATGAATGAGCTTAAGAACTTTTGACAGTGCTCCTGCACTTGAGGTAACTTCCGCTGAAATTTAAGACCAGCCTTGAACTCATCAATAAATTTCTCTATGGAAGGATTTCCTCTGACAGCATTATTGACCAAACGAAGAGCAAATAATTTATTTGCAAGATCAGGAACAGCTTCCATTGGTAGTGAAGTAAGATCAGCATAATGAGATACAAGAACATCATCAATAACTTTCTTTACTTTATTGACATCAACAGTAGCTGATGGACCTAATAGAGGTCAAAGGTCAGTATATACACACACAGTATTATCACTTACTAGCTCCTCCAGTGGATGATACTGACGTTGATTCATGTACTGCATTAGAAGAATAGGAAGAGGAGGTAGTAGGACCTGTGAAATGATGTATGTGAACTATCAATAAAAATTATTTTAAGATCATTGACTAACTCATTGATGAATCAAGAGCAGGAGGTGATTTGTTGATGTAGACAATTTTTGAAGGATCTATTCCAATTAATTTAATAGGACAATGAAGTGGCTTTTTAGCAACAGCAATTTCAGCATACACTGACATACTGCAGCTTGAGTACAATGGGTTTAATGGAAAATGATCAATTGTAGACTGAAATAGCTACAATATAGTAAAGACATGTATAGTAATGCTAAAGTATAGAATAAACTTACCTCCATTGGTTCTCTGTCAGGATCAACGGTCCATCCTAACTGTAGTTGAGTAGTTTCTAAAAGCAACAAAAGTTTCCCATTTGGTTCAGCAAATTTGAAAAAGTCAACGTCATTACCAAGCTCAGCATTAGGATGATTTGTACTAATGTACTACACAGAATAACATTAAAATTATAATAATACAAATAATATGCATACTTGTTTAAGTACTTCCAAATCTCTAACTACAGAATATATTGCCCTCCAGTAACCAACTTTCTTCTCTTCATGATACATCATTCCAGTATACAATACATCATTTTGAATTAAAGCTATAATTGTAGGAAATTAGAAATATTAATCATTGATTGTGTATAGATATTGCCACAAACCTTTGTCCTTATTTGGTTTTTGCTTCACTTCATCTTCAGTTGATTCATTGCTAACATTAGATGCACCTAATAATACAAAACCTCATTATGAATGTACTTAATAAATTATACAATGCATACATACCAGAAGTAGACTCAACTTTTTTTACTTCTTGATCAGAGTCATCAGTTACTGATTCTGTTATGAAATTATGCAACACAATTACAGTCACACATACCTTGAGATAGTTTAGTATTTTTTGTTGAGGCAGTTCTCTCACTAGTCTCTCCTGCTCCATTACCACTATCAATATGTGTGTCATCAGTTGATCCTATTATTGTACATTATTAATAATAAAACACTATTTCCATGATACATGCATGTACCTTCAGGTGGTGTCTCATAACCTTCTTCACTCTCACTGTCACTAGGTGTGTTTCTATTACTCATCTCAGCTATAATACCCATACAACTAAACTGCTCACGCTTAATTAATCCGTATCTTTTTCCAACTCTAAAAAATCCTCCTTCAACTATACTGAACTGGTAAGGAGACTTCAGTGGAGCTCTCACAAACTTGAGGCAACCAGTCTGACTACTGTTCCTTAGATCCACACAATGTTGTAGCTCTATTACCAGTGGTTTTAATAGTGCCTTAGATACTGATATTGCATATACTGCACTCACTAGCACAGTACCTTTGGGTACCTTGAAATTACCACCAGCTAGTGCAGTAACAGCTACTTCAGTATCCTTGGACACTGCTCCTTGAGGACACTCTAATCTGAATCCATATTTCTCCCACTGGAGTGAGTGAGACCTGTCTCCTTGTAGGATAAAGAGCTTCTGTCCAGCTATAATGACACTAGAGTCTAGGGAATCTGAAACAATACAGACACATAACTAATACCAGTATAGTACACACACAATCATTCACATGTGTACATGTACACGAATAATTTACCCATTGAAGGGATCAAGTAATTAAATTGTAGCCCAATGGAGCTAGTCTCTTTGATAGGTTGCTTGAGGACCTTCTCTTGTCTTTCCTTCACTAGTTTGGCTATGTACAACTCCTTTTCTTTAAGGTCTATAAATTACGAGAATATTAATAATTATTATTGATTGATGATGATACACTAACCAGTAATGATCTGTTTCTCATTCTGTGATTGCTCCTCTACTTGTGATTTCAGTTTGGCTACAACTTTGTTACTCTGAGAAATATCAGTTTTGAGATTTGGATTGTTGTCTACACAATAAACATATTCTCTCATTAAACACCATAAAGCGGAAAATTTTCGTAGCTCAAAATTTTTGTGGATTTCGCATTTCTTAAAAATTCACGAAAATAAAATCCGTGAAAATCAATTTAATACTGTTAAGATGGGCGAAATTAGAAAACCACAAATTAAAATTTCAAAAACCACAAATTTTTTTGGGCCATAAAAATTTCCTGCTATACGGTACATGCTGTGTGTATAGTTAACTAACCAATAACGATCTGCTTCTCCTTGAGATATTGCTCCTCCTTTTCCTCCATATCAGCTACTTTGAGTTTAAGTTTCTCATAATCTTCTACATTAATAGAATATTCTCTCATCTAATATTATGTACTGATGATACACTAACCAGTAATAATCTGCTTCTTCTCTTCATTATCGGCAACTTTAGCTTTAAGCTTCTCATTATCTTTTAATATTAATAAAAATACAAAAGTAGAAAAAATGATACTTTTTGCTTAAACAAATTTGCACTGCATGTACAGTGGCCACAAATACATGTACATGTACTATGATTACTGCTAATGATACCACTTATGGTAAGCAGAGCTCACTCTAGATGAATCTCATTATTTGTAATGATGGACAATTTGATCTACATGTATATTGAGTACAGGATACTTTTTCCATACTCAACATTGTGTAATCCACTAGTACTATAATGTAAACAATGTACACATAAACAACAGTACAACACAATAGTACCTAATTCAAGAGTTGATTTATCCTTTTCTGCTTGCTCAAGGAGAGTGGTAGCATCATCAAGTTGCTGAGTAAGTGTTACCTTTTCTTGAAGAAGCTGTTGCTGCTCTTTGTCTCGCTCTTGCTGTATTTGCTCCTTCTCTTTTATTTCTCTTTGAAGCTGTTCCTGATAAATTCTCTTTCCCTTTCTT